AGAGTGCTCAAAGCAGACTGCAATATTTACAAATACCCAGAAAAATAGAGAATATTTACAAATACCCTGAGAATTAGATCTATTAATTCTCCAGCACTGTCTGGGTCCCAGGCTTTTTCTCAAGGTCCTCAGACTGGCACTGTACAGATGACCAGGTTCATATTATGCCAGAGAGAATCTCAAATCTGGTATAGAGGTACCTGGAGGCAGGTTCATCTAAGCTTATATCTATTAGTTTGAAAAACCTAGTTTATTTTCCTACAACCTTTCTAAATTTGCAGCTTCATTTACTTCCATGAATAAATAGTATAGCCTCTTCCAATATAACCTGCAGATTCAGCCAACATGTAGTCCCATACGGTTAAGGCATGCACAGTTTGGATAGCATACATACTGAATTTAGAGTTTTTTGTTGCCATTCAACCTCAGTCAAACAGTATTCTGTGACAGTTACAATAGCCTATATGAATAGGAATTCATAAGTATTTCATCTTTTGAACAGAACAAAAATACTGAACAAGACAGAAAGACCAGAGAACATGAAAAAGGATAGCAGAGATATGAGGAACTACAATGCAGCAGAAGCACTTTGCATTGCTAAAGGCAATTTTCTCTCAAAGGAGAATAAAGTTGGGAATGAGGACAGAAATCCTTCATCTTTCAGAAAAAAATTATGCAAGGAAAAGTACAGGTCCAAAAAATTATTTCAACTGTTGCGTCTTTGGTTGCGGGGTATTTGGAGGTCTCAACCTTGCAGCTTTCTACTCTTTCATCAATCTGCTATGAGACTTTGAGGAGAACAATCTGATGCAGCAGCTCATTCTCTCCTAAGTCACTATTTCATCTGATTACAAATCAGGAATTCTTTTCTTCTTCTTCTGCAACTCCAAGTTCCCCCGTGATACCTCCACACATGAGCACAGTGGGTTACTTCTTAGGAACCGCATCAGGAGAAGGCAGAGACTCAGGTACCATGCAGTATTGAATACAACCAACCCAGCTTTTACCCTAAAAGTTAGAACAAAAATCACCTCTATCAGAATAAAACAAGAGTATTCAATACTTGCCTTTGACTCCTCTGAAAAGGATTTTGTAGTGCTTCTCTAGCCTCTTTGCCATGTAGTTTGCATTTAAAATAGCAATCTCAGAAGCATGTTTAAGACCCTTTCCTCCCATTGTCTGAAAGAGGGATAACACAAAGAAACAGATCTGAAAACAAGCGAGCTAAGCTTTGTTTAGTAAAGGACAAAACTGGTAGAGCATCTTACTATAAGATGCTCTATAAGACTATAAGGCAACCATGCAACAATTGTACTTACCTTCTCTACACTACATGGAGAGACAAGCAATGCAGTGCAATACCAGTAGCTTGGCTTAAAGCATTGCTTATAAGACTGCTTATTACATGAAAAGATTTGCTCAAAATCAAATACTTCCTCAAACTAAATAGCTTTGAATTGAAAAGAAAAATGTGAGTGGAACTCACGAATTTCATCAGCTCTGTATGTGCTGCCTCATTTCTAGCTTTCTTTACTTCAAGGGGAAGAGCAGTCTACATAGCTGTTTTTACTATATGTACAAATTATTTCAGCAACTCAAATCTTGCTTGCTAGTGCTGTGGGTGCATACTAACAAAACATTAACAAGATTCAGAGCCAAATGAACACTGAAATATACTTTCTTCTTCAGTAACTATAAAGTGTTGGAATTGAGCTGTGTCTCAATTTCCTAACAAACACCTAAAAGTTAAGTTGGCAGAGAAGAAAGGCAGAGCAGCCTTTAAGATAGTCACTCCAGCTGGGAAAATCTAAACAGATGGTGCCTTGAATGGTGAAGAAATAAGTTCTTTTAAAATTTACTACAGTTTGAATATTCTGTGAATACATGCTATTTTGTAACAACAAAAGTTATACCACCTGATACTTGCTACTTTCAAATTCAATGATGAGAGCTGTTCTGCCAGGTCAGGCATCAAACTAATCACAAGCTACCTTGAATGACATTGCCACGAAGGTCCACTATTGCAACTGCCCTCTCCTTGGAAGTTTAAATACTGGGCAGAACCCTAGAATATCGTCTTCTGAAATGAATCTAAATTCATCTCTTTTGACTAAATAGTTCCATGTAGGTCGCCAAATATTTATAGAATTATCAGACTGCAAATCATTAAAAAAATACTTAGGTCAAGATTAAGCTGTCACACATTCGAAGTCGAAACTAGGTTCATTTTCCAAATTCAGTCATAACTCCTGAAAATGAAGTTGTTCTCTTTTAAAACAGATTTTGTAAAGTTGAATATTGCACAGGTCAGGAAACACTACTGCAGTACACAGCCAAAAATTCTAGGGGAATCTATCCCACTGAAAACACCAATAACCAAGCAGTTCTTCAAACATGAAAACCTTCAAGTCAGAGACAGTGGAGAGGCAAGCCTGACTGCAGCTTTCTGTCTTGTGGGCTTAGCATCAATGCCTCAAGAAATTACTACAGACAAGAGACAGAAGACTCGTATTTTGGCAATTGTTTTGCCATCCTTTCTATGTGGCCAATTGCAACAGTGACAGCTTCAGTGATGGCAGTAAGTTGTTCTACTGCAGAACAAGGACCTTCAAAGGATCTAAAAGTGATCTGTCACCACGATCACCATCTTCAGATGCTTTACAATCTGTGTGAACAGGATATAAATGTTATAAGAATACTGTTATAAGACTGTTTATGTGATTTCAGTGCCAGAGTTCTTTAGACTCACCTAAACAAAAAGGGACCTTCAGGTCATACTCCTTAGAAAAGTGTACCCACCTTGATGTACACCCAAGATATAGGCAATATAGCACTGGAACCCCAAGGTGCAGCACTGACAGTACCCAAAGGACATGCATCCTTATCCATCTGCATTCTGATGACAGGGTGAGTAGGCAAGTAAGGAGACAAATGTTTCTTCCTAAAACAAAGAAAAAACAACAAAAATTCAGTCAAGCAAAAAACAACAACAACAAAAATACTGATTTGTGAATTATGTGCTTCTGTGTCATTATTCCTAGACAGTTCAGGTCTCCTCTTATACCTTTCTTCCAAAGGAAGTCCAGCAGGGACTCTAATCCATGTCCTTTTCAATAACAAGTGTATTAGCACAGCTGGTGACAACAGAGGATGGTTCAATACATTTCAACCTATTCATGCAAATATCAAAATATTTATAAAGGAGTAAGATTGCCCAATTGGATAGATTCCTGTTTATATCCTCCTCCTGCACCACTTCACATTCAGGACTATATATGTAGTATCAGTTCTCAAAGCCCACAGACTATTTCTGCACCTGCACAGCCAACAAGTCCAGATGCACTGAACACAGTAAAGGCCCAGCACAAGTCTGGTCTTGGGAACATGGGTACATGCCAACTTGTGATTCAGCAGAACACAACAGGAGCAACCTGACCGAAAACAAAAGCCTACAAACAACAGGACAACTCTCACATACATTTAAGTTCATACTTAAATGAATTGCTAACCAAGACTCACTAAGTTTCTTTTTTCTGGAAAAGCTAGTAAAAAGATACTCACACTCCTATTGGTCCCATTCCAGGTCCTCCTCCTCCATGGGGAATGCAGAAAGTTTTGTGAAGGTTTAAGTGAGAGACATCGGAACCATAATCCCCAGGGCGACACAGTCCCACCTGTGAAGGACACACTTGGTCTCAAAAAGTTCTTCACATGCAAACCACTCCTCTACATATTACTGTCATTTAAAGCTTTATTATTAAATGCAGTCCTGCTACTGCATTTAATAAAACTGGGCTCTAATGGGTGTTATAGGTAGGTATAGGTATTTTCCTTTAATATAGAGTTCTATAAACAAGTACAGAGGCAAGCAGTGCTTTTTGCTTTAATGTAAAGAACATTTTTGTGAAGAATTAAGATTTAAAATTCCCATTCCTATTTTCAGTGATGTTTTTTAATATAACACATCCCATAGATCTTTTAACATATTTAGGGGAAAGATCAAATAATTAAACAGCTACTTCACCATCTAATTTTGGCTACTGTTCTCGGAAACCTCTCCTCCCTCACCCAAACTCCGTGAAGCTGCGGTATGGTATGGTCTGAACTGAGCACTTTTGTTTATTCCAGTGAAAGTGCAGTCTCAACTGCACCAAATCTGTGCAATAGTTTCCACACCTGGGCATTCATGTTTGCTCCATCTAGGTAAACCTGGCCTCCGTGTTTGTGAATCAGATCACACACGTCTCCGATCTCCTCTTCGAACACACCGTTGGTAGAGGGGTAGGTGATCATGATGGCTGCCAGGTTCTCCTTATGTTTGTCCACCTGGAGATGGGAGAGGGTGGAGGACAAGGTCACAGAAGCTCATAAATCTTCCTAATGGAAGATCTCTACAAAAGATCCTGTAAGAGAAAGATGTAAGGGAAAGGGCAAGACTGGCAAAAGGGCAAAAGGTGCCAACTGGCAAAAAAAAAAAAAAAAAGGACTGACTGAACTGGCTCAAGCAGGATGCGGCTTGCTGACTAGACACAAGAACAAGTTAACCTGACCTTTTCTGTGTTTGGATATCTCAAGTTATGAAAGCCTCAGACAAGGCTTGGGGATCCCAAGGGATTGGCTATCGGGGCACATGTAGGACACATGTACCGCCTTGTTTGCTTATGAATATGAGGTTGTACCCCCAAAAAACTGCTGTTGGCTATGAGCTTTTAGCCCTTGTTCCTTGATACAGGACAAATGGTGCCCTGAACAGGGGCCTGACAGAGATGAGGTGATTTCATAACCAGGGGCCAACACCAGCGGAGCGACAGAGAGGAAGGAACCATCACGATAAGCGATTGCTGAATACTGAAGCTTTAGGGCATTTCAGGTGAGAAGACGCCTGGGCCGGGGCGCTAGGAATAAGCATGGGGCGCACCATGACTAAGGAACAGGAACGAGTGCTGCAGGTCATGCAGCATATCTTGGACACGGCGAGTCACGCCGGGGAAGTCCAAGAAGGGGACTTGGTCAGACAGTTGAAATGGGGACTTGAAAATTGTGACTCATTTAATGAAAATACAGCACTTTTAGGCTGGAAGCATGGGATGGCTTTGGAGTCGTGCTGTGGGATCTATCCACAAGAGGGGATCTGACCGCATCATCCTTGCTGAGGCCGTGGAGGATTGCTTATGAGTCATTAAGAAAATCCGTAGGCATGATGGGGGTTGCGGTGGCCCCTGCTGCTCCACCGCCACCACCCGTAGCCACGTTGTTTCCTTAAAAATACGAGGTGGTAACCCAGTAAAATTGCTATCAGCCATGAGCTTTTAGCCCCTGTTCCTTGACACAGGACCCACACAAAAGCATGCAGTGTTTCCCAGGCAAGAAGCAAGTCTGTCAGCATGGAGAGCGGGTCATCAACATCAAAAGATACTGAGCTCCTCCTTTCAGCAAACTCTATGCGAGGAAATATTTTCATTTCTTAACAAGCCAGGATTTAAAATTGGGGAAGAAGGCATGCTATAAAGACATAGGTATGATCACTTCTGAGATACTTTAAAACAAGCTAAGTTTAACATTTTGCGTTAAAAGTAATGGAATCAAGTGACTTGATCCCGCTTACTTTCAGCAATACAGTTCTATCATGCTGATGGCAGCCTGTTAAAATGGGTATTTTTAGAAGTGTGCCCAGCTAGATCCTTGGATTCACAAGATTCACCTGCGGCCATCCTACTCAAAAAATCCTAAAAAAAAAAAAAAAAAGTTGCCTAGCAACATCTTCCCCAGCGGAAATGGGCCTGAGCTTCTCTATGGGAAAATGCAACTACAAATGCGTGAGGCTCATGAACATGCTTCATTCACTTCAGACACTGAATGTGGAGAAAAAGCTCTGCTGTAAAAGAGCCTACTGTGTAAAACGACTTGCTCAGCTGCTCCTGCAAAAAAAGATCCACAAATTACAAGTATCACAAGGCTTGTGTCTGAAGCGGAAATGGGCCTGAGCTTCTCTATGGGAAAATGCAACTACAAATGCGTGAGGCTCATGAACATGCTTCATTCACTTCAGACACTGAATGTGGAGAAAAAGCTCTGCTGTAAAAGAGCCTACTGTGTAAAACGACTTGCTCAGCTGCTCCTGCAAAAAAAGATCCACAAATTACAAGTATCACAAGGCTTGTGTCTGAGTTAGCAAAAAAAAAAAAAAAGGAATTACTTATCCTTATCAAGCTTGCATTCAGTGGTATTCACTACTTTTTGCCCTATTTTCTCTCAGGAAAAAATCTGATTCAACTGCCAACACTATTACCTGTAGATGGGAAGAAGAGTTCATGTCTTGAAGATTAAAGCTGTTTAAACACTCACCATTGCTTTTAAATGGGCAAGGTCAATGCTCCCATTCTTATCCACTTCAATTGGCTGAATCTTCATCCCTGCCATTTGTGCGCTTGCTGGATTTGTACCATGGGCAGATTTAGGAATAAGGCAAACCTTGAAAGGAAAAATAAGCAGTGGCTAAAGCAAAAGTAATTACAAAAACCTTAGGTGCTGCTGGCTGTCCTCAGCTGCAATTCATTATCAAAGATTTCTAAAGGGAGTCTGGGTGAATGTTTACTGGCAAAGTGCCACTTCCAATAAAGGCAGTAACTCTATCTTCCTTGGAAAAAGAAAAAAAAAGACAACTGCAAGCAGTAGTGTCAAAATACTCATTAGCAAAATCAAATTTAATTTGCTGCTAAACTTACTTTGAGGTTTGATTTATTACAACCTTATTGCAGATACTCACTTTAGGGATTTTTTTTTTTCTCTTCAAACATTTTTTTGATCAGCTCCCACACACAGTGACTGAAAGGAAAAAATATTCTAATGCCTGTTTCTGGCTACACTTCCACCTAAATTCCAATTTTCTTCTGTACACAATTCAAAACAGATCTTAACTTGAAATATTTTGGCTGTGGCTAAGAATTTCAGAAGGCTGCTTATATTTTCTATATAGATTTTTTTCTTTTAATATTTTTTAAATTTAAATAAATGTAGGTTTTTGTTGCTATTCATTAGGAAAATGGAGCTCAGGATGTCTCCAGACTTTTACAATGACTTCCACTACACACAGGCAACAGGTATAACCTTTCTTAAAAAAAAAAAAAAAAAACTTTATTCAGTGAGGACATTGAAATGTATTATATCCCTTTCAGAGATGAATTTACAATTAGTTCTTGAAGTAAATAAATTATTAAACTGTAGCTGCGTTAAATAGCTGATGATAAAAAACTTTGTAAGAAAAACTGTATTATGGCCCCTATCCAATGTCCCATAGAAATGCAAAGATAAATGTTAGTTAAGGTAAAACTTGAAAAGCTAGCCAAAGAACTAATCAGTCTATCTAAAATAAGTCTGTCTTAGCACCTGCATATTTTCTCTGCTTGCAATGAAATATCAGTATTTTACTATGCAATCACACTGTAAATAAATACAGAAGGATCCCAATCCACTGGTGTAATGCACTGCAGTCTATACTGTGTCTGTCTATAGTAATTTTAAGTGTACAGAAGAGGTGCAGAGGTCTTGCTGGCTTGCATCTGCAGCTGCTGGACACAGAAATGATTGATCAGGCATCAAGGCAACAGCACACAGGTGTTGTGAGCTGTATAACGATAATTCCAACATTTTTTTCCACGAGAGGGCACCAAACCCAAATGAGGCTGATACAGGAAAGGAAGTAAAGCAGCTGATCAAGCTTCTTTCAAAGCAAAAGCCGTAGTTTACATCTGCTCTGCAGAGAACAGCTAATGAAACATCTACTTTCTGTGAAACAGTCAATATTCAAAAACAAACATCTACTGAAGTTCCAAATTAAGTTCAGAAATACAAGTACTGTTATAATAGGCACTTCTTTTTATCATTTAAGTCTGTGAGTATAAAAAGATCTAGTTCATCTCATATTTTGAAGAAGTTTTTGGTATGGCCCCAAACCAAAACTTAGGTACACTAATTTTCAGTGGGTTCAATGGGTTAAGTAAAAAAGGTACACACAGGCAAATATTTCATTAAAGGAAAATAGATGAATGGGCAATATGGGGAAAGGTCATCTACTAGAATGCTGTAAAAGCTCTCTCCTGGGCACCTTGCATTTCAACTTATTCAGAGATGAATGGTGACAAATATCCTGATCAAAAGTCCAAAATTATTCAAGACGCTAATCAAATCTGGTGGCATAGTACAAATGAATTTAATTATGCCATTACTACTAAGTGATGGACATGAAAAACAAAGATACTGAACACAGGTACATCTAGAATAATAGGTAAGAAGAAAAATCTTAACATTATGTAACAGCACTTGTAATTTTGAATATAATGCTACTCAGAAAGATCTTGTAGTATTGGGGGGTAAAAAAGCATGTTAAAAGTTAGAAAGGAAAAACAAAGGAAAAAGAGCAAGGAAGTGGTCATGATAAACCTTTAGGAAAACTTTTGTGAGACAGAAGAAAAAGTAACTGGAATTAACTAGGAAGACAGAACTGAGGAAGAATAAAATAAAAAGTGCAGCATTAACATGTGATAAGTAGACAGGTGATATGGTGAAACAGTGCATCCTCTTTGAAGCATGAGAAGATATTGGATAAAATCATAAGAAAGTTCAAATACTAAGAGGAAGTACAGGATGAAACCACGGACAGACATTTTTCTCCAAGACAAAATAAATATTGAAAGTTTTGTGGATGGAAGTTTAGTGGAGGAAAGATCCATGAAGACCACCTTTGGGCAGAAAGCTCCTTAACTGAAAGTAAGTGCATGCTGGAAACCGTTTCCAGATATGTGCTGTGGTAAGCTTGCTGTCACCTCTAAGGCTTACAAGAACTCAATTTTTCTAAGTTTACACGGTACTGCTGAGAAGAGATTCCTATGGTCAAAGTTTCAGGTGTTTCATATAAAAGATAAAAAAAAAAATTAAAACCCCTCCAAGTCTTTTAACTCAAACATCAACCTAGCGAATCACAATCAAATTACATAGATAGTTTGAATGGAGAAAAAGGGGATGAACTTGGAGATTTTTGAGTCTGTTCAGTGTTTATCTGGTATACCAGAGCCTTGTCTGCTACTTGTGTCAGGAGTGTTCAGTGCTGGGAGCAGACTGACGTCCAAGCATTGCAGGTTTTAGGTACACAATTACTTCTAGTTCTAGCACTAACCCATAGTTACTGCATCATGCCCCTTTTTCCATTTCCCACCCAAAATGCTTCCCCATACAAGCGTGGACACTTACAGTCCTATTACGTTCTCCTTTTGCATTCAGATAAGCCTTGATTGCAGCCAAACCTGCATATTCTCCTTGGGCTCCACTGCAAGAAGAACACAAAGCCTGTCATGCAAACATACAAACCGGAATGCACCAGTACAGTGCTGAAACTTCAGAACTGTCCTGCCCTAATCCTTCCTACAGACCGGCAGAAAACTAAAAGAGATACAGCTTAAACTGCAGGTGCACAAGCATTGATTACCAGTTTCTGCATCTTTTTCAAACAGTGCATGGAAAAAAATCACATTGTTTTCTATTCCAACAGCACTGGGCTCAATCCTGTTGGTTGTTGAATTGATTCTGACCCAACAGGAGGCTGCTTTCTTGACTACAGAGAGGAAAACTAGTGCTGCAGTGGACAGTAAAGCATAATATATATAGCCATACAAGCATACGAACTCTCTTGGTGGGACTCCAGGGGTCTGAATAAATCCTTGCTATTCATTTTGTAACCAAAATCAGTGCTCATCAGTGCATCTGTGCTCATTCAGTTCTGCTTTAATTATTTCAGTGAGCCTGCAGATCCTAGGGATTCTCCAGTCAAACCCACTATTACCTAATGCATCAAAAATCACTTTCAGGAACACTTAAGGATCCAGCTCACTCCAGTTACAAAACTTTCCTGATATCCTCATATGAATTAAATGCCATGTCACCATTTTAAGCAAGCAGCCAGCTGCTTGGAAGGAGCCAGCCTTCCAAGAGAAGAAAACACGAAAAAAAAGTGATTAAAAGAATTTAAAAGACCAAAATTGATTACTATCCATAAACATAAATTTTTTAGAAGAAAACAGACAAATTAAGAATCTGAAGCTTTGACAAAATCAAATCCTGCTATCATAGCCTTGTATTCAAGACTTTTGTTTGTGAAATTTAATTCCAGACACGTCATCCATTTTTGTCTAACAGTTTTCTCTTAGGGAGAATTTTTTGAGCTATGCCAAGGAGCAGATGTTCAGTAAAACTTTTCTACCTGTTTGGTTGGAAAGAGATTGCATCATAGCCTGTAATTTCACACAGATCCTTCTCCAGATCCTTGAAAAGCTGCTGATATCCTTCAGCTTGATCCAGAGGCACAAAAGGGTGGATGTTGGCAAACTCTTTCCATGTGATAGGCTAAAAAAGGAAAAAAGAAAAAAAAGTAAATAAGGGCTATAAAATGAAATTTGGTATGTGTTTATATCTGCTGGAATCAAAAGAATTGTACTAAAAGGCAAGGTATTCTAGATTTTAGGTAATGATGTTTATAATCATTTCTCAACTAAAATTTAAAGACTCATTAATCGGAAGACAGCTATATTGTTGTTAAAACTCTAAATGAAAAAAAAGCTGCTTTGTGCCAAAAAAGAGATCAACAACTTGTGTAGAACGTAAACCTAAAAATGCTGATCTCAGCATAAGATAACTTCCATTAACTATTTTTTAAAACACTCAAGTTCTGCTTCTATTGTTGCTGATGACAAAAATCTTTAGTTTCTTCTTCCAGGACACCTCCCTTCTTTAAATAGAGCTCTGATCACAAGGTAGAAGGTAAGGTGGCAGTAAATGAGCTAACAAACACTCACTGTTAGCTGCTCTATTGCTTTCCACTTTAATTATAAGAGACTCTTACCAAACAGAAACAAGTGGAAGATACATAGGAGGGGTTGAGAAAAGGGGAACAAAAGAAATCTACTGAACAGTCAAAGCAAACAAATAGCCAACCTGCAGGGAGCAGAGCAAAACATTCAGTCAGACAATTTTCAGTACCCCCAACATTTCACAGCCAAATCTCTGCTTCCTCTGCTACTAAAAACTGGAAAAATGAAGATAGCTCCAGTTCATCAGATGGAGAAAAGGAGAGCTAACCTAAGAACTGGCAAATAGAAAAAGCACTATGAATTGTCAGTCTTATTGTATTCCTGACAATTTATGTATTCCTGAGAATTAAATTTATTTAATTTGTAAAAGAGCTAGGAATTATGTAGGGCAATTCCTCTTAAATTCAATGGGAGTTTGGTGCCCAGTTAAAAAAAAATTATTTTCATAATCTTCTTTATTCAGAATGGAATCTTCAAAGATAATATTTTATTTCAGTGCACTCCTAGAGCATTTCCTGAAACTTTCTATGTTTTTTTTCTTACCAGAAAAGGGAGTTTATGCCATTAGCTACTTCCAAATCTATTTTCTCAGCTGGAGTTTCAGATCAAAAGCAATCTGTACTTCTAATATCTATTACAACCCTGCTTGACTGGGTAGGTGCTTTATTTCAGGTGAGTCTCAAATAAGGCATGGTTTTTTACAACTTACTGTAAGTTCAGCTGAACTATTGAGCTTCATTGTACAGGAACCCTAAAAATAAAAACACATATATCAGTGTACGCATAATGTAATATATATATGTAAGTGTGTGTGTATGTGTATATCTATATGTATATAAGATCTATTTTCTTCTGGCAAATACTTACCAAAGGAATCATGCTGTGAACAAGGGAAATATCTTTGTTTTCCAATCTTTTCATGTACCGGACAATATTTGTTTCGGAGTGATAGCTGAAGAATACAAAATACGGTGTTAGGGCAATCAGATCAGCTAAACAAGCTGCCTCATCTCTGCTCTAACATCGCAAATGGCATAAAAAATTAACATCAAGTAGTCTTCACCTTTTATTTCTTTATCACTTACCCACAAACGCTATCACTAAATATGTAATATGAAAGTTCTAATAAGTATGTCCTCAAATGCTATCTCGTAGCAGACTAATGGACAAATGCAAGCCCCATGTGATCAAGAGTTTTGGTTTGCTCACTTAAAATTCAATTTATAAAAGCTGATAGAAAGTTTTAGAATAATAAGTGAGACTGTCCATACAAACGGAAAACTCCAGCTACCGCAGTACTACTTATGAAACAGAGATATTTTCAGGTTTCATTAAAATATCAGATATACAGTAATTTTACAAACCTGTTAAAAACCTGATGCGTCAAGAATTTGGAAGTTCTCTTAAATGGGGTGCTGAGAATACCTTTGGTGTCCTCGCCCATGCCCTCAGCAACTAGTTCCTTTGACACAAAGAAACACAAGGTCAAGTATCTTCAGAGATGTTTCTTCTCATAACTAGTTACCATCATCACTTGCTTACACTATCAGTTTACCACAAAATTTGGACAGTTTTGTTAGATCATGAACTTCATTAGCATACATATCTAGTATGTATCAATAACTTTATATTAAAAAGAGTATGGGATGTCAGTACATCTTAGAAGTGTTGCTGCGAATTGCCAAAGATGTGCAACAAATTTCCATTAGAAGAGAATTGCCTCAACCATCACAAAACAGCCAATGGCCTGAAAACAGGCTGACCCAAACCTCAGAATGGCATCATTGTTATCTCATATTCATCTCATCTATCTTTTCCTTTAAGGGAAGATTTGAAATTGGTAGTTTATAACGGTCATCCTACATAGAATCATTGCCCCAAAGAGCAGTTTTGGTTTACACTGAGTTACTAAAACTTTCAGATTAATTTATTCCATATGATCTGCTGTCTACTTACAGCTGAAGACTCACAACCGAAAATCCATAATATGTCATCTAAGTCTTTCTCATTTACAGTTTCATCAAGTGATACTCCAAGCTATGGACAAAAACAGCAGTAATTACTTAGAGCTCTCACAATAGTGATTGGTCCTTGTCTAGAAAAAAAACAATCCGCAAACATAGAAGAAACAACAAACAAGACAACTGCAACCTACTTAACAGTCTCGAAATTTCACTTAATTTTTTATAATGGACACATAAATACATTTTTACAACATTCCAACTCCTAACTTCTCTTTTCTCTGCTAAATGATTCAAGCTGCATGTTATAGCTTCATGTGACTCCCCTTCCAGTATTTCTGTCCAAGTGTGCTCCATTTAATAGGAAGATAGCCTGTTTTGCTACTCCTCCTTACCTCTGCCCTTGCATTTTAAAAAACATATGAAACTCTGCAAAAAGGCTCTCTATGCCTAATAAAACATGCTTTAGACTTCAGTTTTTGTCTTTAAATACTTCCAGAGGACCTGAATTCTGGAGGTCATCTAGCATTTCAGGGATATTGCTAAGTTTTAGAGTTTCTCTACACTTGCCTCTCGTAGCATATTTGAAGTGAGGCAGAGGTAATTTTTCTAAATCAGCAAGAAATGAACAGCAATGAGTATTTCTAGAAGTCCAATAGGTCACTTAATAGTTTCATTTTTATATTGTCTTTATAACTGAGTGATGAATGTAAGCGAAAAGAGCAAGAGGATGTAACCACTACTTTTGTTCCATTTGGCACATTTAATAATAAGAAACATTGTAAAAAAGGTCATGCGATAAAATTTCTTAAAGGTTTAAAGATTTGCTTACTCTGCCATCACCATAAATCCGAAAATTTATCTTTCTAAGAGCCGCCCTGTCCAAAACCTCTTTGACTGAGCATCCGCATGTGATTGTCAACGTATCAAAGAACAGATCATGGTGCAGTTTATGACCAGCTCGCCTGAGACCTATAAAAAACAGTAAGTAATATTAACTTGTTAATTCTATAGTGCTTGTACATACAACACTGCCATAACAATGCTACATCTCTGTGTTAAGTAAATTCTATTACTTGATAAAGCAAGACATTTTCCTTGTTTACACAGCAATGAATCATCAGCTTTCTATAGAATTTCACTGTGTATGGAAGTGCTCTTCAAGGTTGCTGAGGTCAAGGTCAAGACCGTTACCTCGACCAGCTTAACACAACTTCTCTTAATGTTTTAGTAATCTTCACTCATGAGATGGAAAGACAAATTCTCAAGTATTTTTCTCCAAATGAATCAAGAGGCTCCTCCAGTTAGACTGTTATGAACTTCCTCAATTTAAAAAAAAAAAACAATGTTGCTATAACCCTCCACAATTACTAATAAAAGCCATTGGTCATATCATATGGAATATGGCTGTCATCTTTTGACACATGCTCTGAAGCCCTCCACTGATCACAGATAATTTTATAAACAGCAGCAGTTGCACTAGATAAATAGTATGTTTATCCAGATGTGCTGGTTTTGCTCTTTGAATCCAGGCATTCTTCAAACACCTGTATTGCAGCCATTTGAATAAAAAGGAGAGAAGTATTCAGCCAGGTTTTGTTAACAAAACAACACACAAAGTCCTGTGCCCTCAGACAACTATTAGGCTTTGGAGTTTCGTAGCACTTTGGTTTTACACTCAGTTTAACCGAATTGTTTCTGTGTGTTTAATCTTAACTATTACCTACATTTGCAGACTTCTGTAATACCCTGTGCAGACTTCTGTAAACCAGAATGATCTAGTGATTATGTCTGGAAAACAGCATGAGTTGCTATGCAGACGTCTCTTAGTTTCATAAAACTACCTAATTCTTGGACTTCATTGTTTAAGGATACAAATATATTAGCCATAAATTTTATATAAAAATGTTATCTCTTAACACGCACCAGCTGGCAAAGACTTGTGGCGGGTATTTGAGAAGGTGCAAGGATTTAAGCTCAGTTTCTTTCACCTACAAACCTTCATACCCCTCCACCTTCATGATCTTTCACCCACAAGCTCACCTTCAGCCAAGATGAGAGCAGCGTTATGCACTCGTCTCGCGATGTGCTTTAATCCCTCAGAACCGTGGTAGACACCAAACATGGCCGCCATGTTAGCAAGAAGAGCCTACGTTACAAGCACATTTGACAACGTTACTAATACTAAAGGTTACCAGGTGTTAGTTTAACAGAAAGTTTCTCTAGCAACCGTATGTCCTCAGCTGATGTTACACTTGCTCACATGTAGTAATCAAGACAAGAGATGAGAAAGGTAAAATACTGTTATGTAACTGAAATGACTGTGAATTCAATGTCCTTTGAAATTTAAGGATTTCAGTAAGTTAACATTAACTTAATTTTCTGTAAGTACTACACCTTACAGAGTGAGCATTTGAAGAATCTCAAGAAAAACATAATCCAGGAAATTCAGTGTTTGGGCTTGCTGTATAACTTTTATGGAATACCTCAGGAATGCTAAGTATTAAATACATTTTATTATTACTAATCCCTCCTCAAATAAAGCACATTGACAGCATGAACAAAGCATTCATAGAAACAGAAAATATTTTAAGCTTGTTTGGAAGAAAATCTATGGCTACATGCCAAAAACAACTAATTAGAACAATTACTATTTTAATTGTGACATTTTACTGTAAAAATAGCTATTTGGTAGTGTAATAAAATTTATGCATCATTTCATGGGATCAAGTTGTCATTATTTGCACTTTCTTAAAAATAGTCTTAAAATTTCAAAATGGCATTTTTGTCTTGGTGGGGAATCTTGGAACATTAGAATTCCCTTCTGTTTGTTACAAATGAGGCAGATCTGCTTTATCATGAACACAGTAACACACAGTTCACTCCATGGGGCAGAAGGATTCGTGATACTGCATGAAATCAGGACCAAGGTAAATAAAGCAGATATTAACATCATCTTTTCTAACAAGGTTCCATTTTTCAAAAGGCAAACACACTGACATAAGGACATGTCAATGTTTTCAACGTTTTCATTTTTTCCAGTAAAAAGATTCATAGAAAAAAAATCACAGAGATAAAGCTAACTCAAAGCACTGTGCATTTACAGGTACAGTCTGGTTAAGACTTCATGATCTGGTGTTAAAAGCAAATCCTGACCAGTTACCTGTGCTGTACAGATATTGCTGGTAGCTTTGTCTCTTCGGATATGCTGCTCTCGTGTTTGCAAAGCAAGTCGATACACTTCCTTTCCATTTGCATCTCTAAGCACAGAAGAAATTGTTTATATTACTTTAAACAACAACAGATTAAGAGATGGGGCTCTGAGTTTGCTAACATGAAATTAGTTTTTATCCCAATACAGAAAGCTGCTCAGGTGAATAGACACCAGGTGGGATGGATATGGCATCTCTGAACAGGCAGCACATGGAATGGGACCTGTACTCACACGTAAAGCCAAGAGGACAGTGGGAACAAATAGATTTGCTGCCATTTACCTCTTCCTGTGATGCTGCTGCCCACTAAAAAACTTGCTCTAAAGAGCTTTTAAACACTTAAGTGTTTAAGTCACTTACATCATGCCTGGCCAATGCATCTGATCCAGCCGAGTTTTTACACCACAACTATTCACTTTAAAAAGTTAGAAACAATTGTAATCATTTTAATTAGGTAGAAAACCGGAAATACAGTTGAACAAATGCCAATTAGAACACTTTTTTTTTTTTTTTTCGAATAGTATGAGGTAAGAACATGCAAAATATATATTATATAAAATAAAATAAAAAAACATAAAAATAACTCCTCCAACAATAATGTATGAAATAACTGAATGAGCTCTGGCCAATCCATCATTTAAGAGGTCCTTTTGTAGTGTAACTAACATGACAAAACTGGATTCAGTCTAATATCCTTTAGTAGGATACATATATATAAATGGGCTTTTGAATAGTTTCTTCTTTGAATAGTTTCTTCAAATATTTGCTCATCGGCTGTATATTTACCTCGTATATTTTCCTCTAGCAGCTGTTCTGAGGATTTTGACTACATAGCTCAGTTTATCATCAAAAAACTAAAAAAGAAATCCACAAAAAAATGCTGCATTGATGAATTACTGCAACTTTCCATTTTAACACTTCTAGCTGTAAGCTGATCAAAATGTAAAATGAAGATTAGATTTTAGAATTATAAATCAAGCCCAAGAATAATGCACTCAGAATTAGCAGGATGACTAAAAATACACTTGAAAGAATGTTACTATATGAACAAAATATTTTCAAAATTCATTAATAGCTGTTAATATTGTTGGTTATTTGGGTTACTGAAGCATTCTTGAATAGCTCACACATAAAAAAATATACATTTTTTTCCAGTAACAATTACTTTGCATTTTTATTATTTGCATTTTATCAAAGTCCTATGCCACCAATAAGAACTAGAGGTAAGTTTTTGCACACTGTTCCTCCTCATTGAGGTCTGACTAAAACCTGAACTACACCGAACGCCTTCTTGATTATTTGGAAGGCTCACTGTATTTTTTACTTTCTTACACTTACATATTATTGGATTCAAGAGAGGGAAATACTACAGCACAGAATAAGCAGAGTAAGTTATCGTGAACAAAACTCCTCTGTGCTATCGAAGTTAATCTAGTCTCTAGTGTCTAGGTTATCTCTTCATGCCACATTGCGGCAAGGACTTCAGACATAGTTCACATCTGCAGTCCATAAAACGCAATTCTTTAAGTTTTTTTTTACAAGCTGAAGCCAATTTTTATTCTCCTCGTTTTCAAGGAAAGGAAAAGATGTTAAATGCAATGGCATGGTGAAGTATTCTTCAAAGGGGCTATCCGAGGTGGCCACGATCTCCTTCGTTTAGACCGTCACCCAGAAGGCTAAAGGCAATGGTTACCTGGTAACGCCCACCATGCGGCCTGGCATCATCCTCACCAGGCTTTCCCTGACAGCAAAGAAGGCTGCGTGGGGTCCCCCGTAGCAGAGCGGCACCCCGAACCGCTGGGAGCTGCCCAGGACCACATCTGCCCCAAACTCTCCAGGAGGCCGCAGGATACACAGGGCCAGAAGGTCCGTAGCGCAGCAGGCCAGAGCCTGAAAGCAGAAGCGGGCAGGGTGGTCACCCTCCTTCCCGAAGGAACAGAGTTTGCAGCAGGACTACATTTGAGCATGGAATAGCTCAGGGAGAGCTGAAGCATAACCTTTGCATGGTATCTCATGCAACATCTTGTGTCTATGTCTATGGCTGTTTAATTCAGGCAAAGGTACCTGAATTTTACCTGAACGGCCAGGTAAAATTTACTTTACCCCATTTTGATGAGCTCTTTCAACTAGGTCAGAGAAGTCTTCCACCTTCCCTTCAGTATCTGGGTATTGAAATAACACTCCACTGACATCCTTTCCAGTGAAATCCATCTCATGTGGTAACTTCAGCTCAGTAATAACACCCGTATAACTGGAAAACAAAAACATGAAGAAGACAACACATTCAAGCTGCCTCCTGATTTGGAGAGGCATTTAATATGATATTTTCATAGATTTAGCCGTTTTTTTCTAAGCATACAGATAATTCAACCTACTTCGCATCATTAAATATTAAGACAATATGGTGTCATGGTACACAGTACAGAAGAATTACATTTTATCTCACCATTGGCATTATGGAGCAGAGAAGGCAGTGTATATGCTACTTGATTTCAACATTTTGATGCTTTAACAAGTTAACTTCAACCCCTAAGTAATATTGTTATAAAGTAGGTACCTCAAACTATAACTTTAAAGAGATTTAGCTTCCATAAGAGGTTTACTATCAGGAACAAGTCACTTCCCAGCTAAAAATGACAAGATTGAATGTAATAATAAAATATACATATTTATGTTAAGAATTCAGTGGGAAATTTAAGCATTTTCTTGTTGTCATATGTTTAGTCTCTCTTTAGACATTCTGAATTACTTCATAATTATATTTAAATGGAAAAGTAGAAGCAAAGCCAAATATCAGATTTCTGTATTATTTTGCAGGAGGAGAGCAATCCTGTATCTAAAATATTTTAGGCATACGATAGAGCTGCCAAAAATGATTTGTGTAAGTGAAAATATAATGGAGAAAAATGGAGGCAAACATTACTTGGCTCTGGTCTGGACCACTGCTATTGTTTGAGGGTGGCATCGAGCATCTACATAGAACTTCCTTCTTTTGTTGTGCCTGTTTAAAAGAAAAGAAAAAAAAAACATGCCTTTCAAAGCCCAGAATTCCTTCTGATGATGTAATTAGCCATGCATTTAAACACATTACCTATGACACAATTGCATGGCTTCTGCAGCTGCTGTCCCTTCATCCAGCAAAGATGCATTAGCCACGTCCATTCCTGTGATGTCACACACCATCGTTTGGTAATTTAGCAGGCTCTCCAGTCTGCCCTGGGAAACTTCGGGTTGGTAAGGAGTATACTGGGTAACCCTGACACAAAAGAATCCGAAATTTAGACCACCAAAAAGAAATGCATAGCAGAACTATTCTGTTGAAAAAAATCAAACAAACGAAAAAATACAAAGCAACTAAAACAAAGGATTGTTAAGCACAACTCACTAACATGAAAAACAAAAAGTTTTTAAACAGCCTTTTCTGGAGGCTGTAATTTATGCTTACGCTTCCATAACAGTAATATTTTTCATACCTACATTCTCTATAAAAGAACAGTCCTCTCTCTCTCTGTGAGTCTCCCCACCCCCATTTTGTGTAGGGATAATAAAAGGAAATTGGACTTTAAAGCTGTATCAGCTGAGTGTGGGAGAAATGAGACAAGTGACAATATCTGAATGTTTTGTTCATTCGCGTCTGGCTATTGTCATTATATTTCAACATAATGTTTCTAAAGTCCTTACTGAATAGCCTCCATTCTTTTGGGAGGGAGGGCGGTTTTAGCACTTTGCAGGTTCATGCTCAGAAGTATGCTACTTCTTGTGAAATTAAAATTTTCATATTTATTACTGGAGGGAATTAAGACTGACGTGAATGCCCAGGGATGAAAGGCAAAAGTGGAGACTAGGCTCTCTTTTCATTCCAAAAACTTTGGAGTCCCGGATTTCAGGCTGCTATAGACCAGATTTTATGTCAGTTTGAACCCAGAGCAGGTTCCACAAACAAGTGATGAATAGGATCAGACCCACACTCTGTTTTTCAGTTCCTTACTGAAAGGTTGCTAGTAAGCTCTGGATTTTTAAAGGGTGTTTAATGATGCACGCATTAAGGTAGCATCTTTCAAAAGAGACCAAACTACTTGGAAGCTCAAGACTCATATGAAGTTGTTAGAAGGTGCACGAAACCCATTTTTAAAGGACATTTTAAAAAGAGACATTGGTTAATATTTGACAGAATAATCAGTTTCTAGAAATGAGATATTAATTGCAAATACAGGCTATCTATTTATTTTCAACAAAGACACTGTGCAACTAAATTATTACTAATTGGCAAATCATTACTAACTGGCAAAATGAGAAAGGACAAACGAAAAAATTAGTTGTGATGAAGTAACACCTAGTACGAGAGAGGTGACACCTTATATAAAACTTTAGTGTACATTTTGATAGAAGACTTTAAAACTCCATCTGTTCGTACCATGCAAATTCTTTTTTTTGTTTGTTGTCAAAGATATTAACCCCATTAAGATGTGGTTAATAATAATAACTTCGTCCAATATTAGTGCACATTTTCATGCATGAAGTTTGTGTTCTACAGCATATAGTGAAGACATCTTTTGAATCGCAGGAAGATTTGTTTAAATATCTATTTTTTTCTTGGGAAGTGGTCTGACACTGCTTAAGCATCTAAACCACTAAATACAATAGTTCTAGTTCTCAACTATTCCTTCAAATAAAACATCTGTCTTCAGTCTATACTCAGCCTTCAGCCTGAATTTTTCCAACCATTTTTTCTGTATTATTTGTAAAGTGACTTTCTAAAGCAAATTGAAAAAGAGCTGTCTCTGAAGAGCATATGAAATGGATCCCATTCAAAAAGAATCCATTCTGCCTAAGCTTGTTCATGTGGCTATTTTGTGCTTAATTCAAGTCCAGCAACGGCAATATTCAAATTAAAAAGTAAAAAAAAAAAAGGCAAGGAATAAAAAACTGCTTGTTGTTCAATAAAATTGGTGGAAAATAATTATTTTCAGTCAGTATCTTCTCTACCCAGAAGTATATCTACAAACATTCCCAAGTTAATTAAGGCAAGTGAATCACAATAGAGAAAAAGCATTCCATGAGAAACCAAAAGAGTCATGAGTCAGTGCCAGGCTTTTCAGAAGTCCGGGGATAAGTGGCTTTTTTTTTTTTTTTTGTAGCTTTTAAAAGTTACTGCTTTAATTTAGTTTTCTTCCCTGTACCTCATCCTACTTTCAAATTAGTTGTATGAATATAAACTTTAAGTTACGGATGAATGTTTTAAAAAACTGTGAAGTAATATAACACGTCCTAGGAGACCCCGGAGGCTGGGATCAGCAGGCTGGCATCAAGGCAGGCAGTATCCAGGAAACACACGCTTTCAGCCCAGGGCTGCTGATGAAAAGACCTGGCTGAGAAAGGAGCAGAAGTCTTCGTACTTCAAAGATGGAATAGTTTTACATTTAACAAAAAAAAAACCCAACAATAAAAGAAAAATCGGACTGTACATTATTTGTAGAATTAAAAATTACAGTTTCTTTATACTAAAGCTGGCTCTTGCTCTTAAAAGCAGGCTCTTGGGAAAAAGGACAGTGAAGTGTTAGATAACAGAAAAGGCACAGAAAACCCCATCATTAAGTTCAGCAAATTCAGTGAACTAGTTCTTGCACAGTTTTTGTTGGTATGTAGTCATTAAGTCCAAGACGAAACTTAATTTATTCCTTAATGCATAATTTCTAGTAAAACAGTTCACCAGAACATATTCATCAGTATTTTTTCTACAGTTTGTCTGTGCCCAGAGAAAACTAATGTATTCATCATCAAGTTTCTATTTTTAACATTTCATAAGTTAAGTTCTTGCTGTTCTAGATATTAGCAAGATAGTAATAATTCACTCATCTTAAAACATTGGAAAACTGAGAACCCAGTACATGAATTTTCTAAATTATCTGTCTTTTTTGTAATTTTAAGGACTAGATTTCATCAGTAAGGCCAATTTTGAACCTGTTCCCCCTCACCCTCTGGCTCCCAGAGTCATTAGTATTTAATATAAATATGTTTTTTTATATGTATTGTAGTGTAGAAAGATACCACACCAAAGCTGTGCAATTAGTGACCTCACAACTTCAGGTCATTCCACCTGATCTGTAGAATTCCCAAGGGCCTTCCTGTTTGTCGAGTTCCAGGCTTTTGGGACTTCATGCATCTTTAAAGATTTGTTATCAAGGTCATCCTGAAACTCACCTATTGGTTTGAGAGCTGACAGTCTTATGAAATGGCATATTTAGGTAATACAAATTCCCCTTTCAAACAAATGCGTAAGGAATTGTGAATACCTCACACCCACACAAATTTAATTTAATGTCAAATTTGGCATGCTTTGAAAATTGTTTGTACACGTTTCTGCATCTTTTCTAGAAGCAGAAACCTGCTGCTGATTGTTCATATCTACAATTTTTGCACTGTGTGCAGTGATACTCAGAGTGTAATGCAGGATAGGTGAGTGCCAATCACTAATGAGTCAGAATGCTCATGTAGAGATTAGTCACATCCTTAGTATATATTCTTTATTCTAACATATTTAACGTCTGGGGACAAAGTAAGCAGCCTACATGTGAGCTTGTGAAGACAAATATTCTTTGTATTTTTAAGCTCTTCACTTATACTCATGTCACACCATGTAATTAGATGGATCTGTTACTAGACTCATAGTTCAGCTCACTTGGGATGAAATATTTTAACAAATATGTCAGTGTGTGATGCAGCAAAATAAAGACTCTTGCATCCATGTCTGCAGAGAGATGACAGATATTTGTATGCCTGAGGAATTCATGATGAATATCAGCATGTTATCTGGTGGTATGGCCCGAAGTAAATCCTTTTTCCTGGATTTTAGAGTTGAGATTTTCTAAGGATCATTGAAGTGCATACACTGAGAGGCTATTGTTTAGTTTTGAGAAAGCAGGCTGCCTTTAAAAAAAGCAAAAAAGAGGCATAAAAATTTCCTAGGATGTTAATAGTTTGACATTCCTAAACATTGACATAGAAAACAAGGCATGCTAGCAACTACAGAATAACCCAGACCAAGAAGAAATCAGGTTTCAAAAATAAGCGCCTATGGTCCTCTACCTTGAGCAATCAAATCCGGAAAGGTAATGATAGCACTTCTGTCAAGCAATCATCCCCTACAGAAAACTTGTAGTTCATTTTATTTGAAACTTATTTTTATTTGAAACTGAGTGCTCTTCGGATAAAAGAAATTGCCTGAAGAGCATCTACTCAAAGTACTTTTTAAGTAGCTTCTTTCAAGAATACTGATGCTTCAAATGCATTTCAGATTTAAAAGAAAAGGATGCTGTGCTTTTCCGAAAGCTACCAATATAAAATATTCTTGCATGCCAACTTCCTAAGGACTCGGTTAGTACAAGCTTTGGTCAGACAATTTTATCATAAAATAATTAAGCCATTTAAGGTTTTATTGTGAACACAGATTTTGTACACCGTGGTCTGAATGCTTTAAAAACCTCTAAAACTCTGGCTTTGGTTAATTTTATCACAAACCAATTAAGTTATTTAAGTTTATACTGTGAACAGAGATGTTGTACACAATTGTCTGAATGTTTTAAAAAGCTTTGAAACTGCGGCAGGGTTGAGTATTTTCTTAGCAGAGCCTAACAACCCGGAAGATTTTTTCTGGCAAAGCTTCTAACGAATACATGTGGGCCAATAGTCCCATTTCCAGCTGAAAATACATTGTGTTCCCAACACTTTCTTACCAAAATCTACCCCTTTGCTTCCTACCTCCTCCTATCGAGTCTGAGTGTACTAAATACTAAAAAGTCCTTCTGCTCTGTATTCACAGACTTCTGTGAACAATTCTGAACAATGCCAAGTAACGAGAGGCAACAAAGCATGCGAAAGACACAGAGCTGAGCAGAAACAATAATCATTAGCACCCATCACTTCTCCTGAAGCCCCGTGGGTTGACGCTAGCCTTTGTAAGACATATTCTCTGCAAACGTGAGTAGAATATTGACTTCTGACACAGCTTCCATACAGTCTGAGCGGAATTTTGCTTTTAACTTCCCCGCTTTCCAGCAAACACAATTCACTTTAACATTCACTTTAACAGAAGTTTAGCTTTTACCATTCTAGTTTGATTTTATGGGACTTTCCAAGAATAGATTTTTGAATTAACTATCAGTTGGTTAAAAACACAATTCACTTCCAGTCACCTACTATTATTTTTGACTCTCGCAATGCAATATTTTTTTTCTCCTCAGGTCTGAGAAGTGCAACTTCTTCAAATATCTGTGTAACTTCTTTATCAGTTCTCAGGCCTAATGATATAAAGCCTAATAAGCTTGGAAGTCTGCAGATAGATAGACTAACAGTAATGACAGTTACTATTTGTAAACATGCGATATTTGGCCTACCCTGATAAAGGAGCATTACTTAATTTACAGTAATAAAGATGTCAGTTGTGACTGAATTATAATGAAAAGAAAGGATATTATGGACTAGAGACAGGAACTTCAAAATGAGACAATGCATGGTATCAATGCCATGATGTATTAATTCTTTTCTGATGTATTAATTCTTAGTTATAGGTGTTTATAGAATAAGGCCTAATGCTAAATGAACACGTATAATCAAACCTTACAATCTTTTTTTCTAAAATGTCCTTCAGGAGACAATGAATACATGAACGCATTCATTTTTTTTTCAATTTTGCATTACAGGAAGAGTAAAATTCTACTCTGACAGACTACTTTCTGCATATCCCTAGCAACTGAACTATCATCTGGGTACTGAGACCCAGTACGATATTCTCAGTCTGTTCAAAAAATTAATTATTAAGTACATTATCATCCTGCTCTCAGAAAACTGTAGACCAAGTTATTTGTTTACACAGACAAATACTTCCTGGATATATGTTCTAGCTCTTGAAGCACTCTGATCCCCACCCCCCCAAAAAATAGAAGAAAAAGCATTTAGTATTTCCATGGCAGATTTTTACTCATAAGAGAACCATAATCAGAATTATCATATAGTATTTAAATACCTCTATCCAAAACTGGATACACTAGTGGAGGAAAGAACTTTTTAATTTTACTAGAAATATAGGAAAGAACGACTTTAGAAGATGCTTATTCTATAAATGTCTTCTGCTTATAACATAGACTTCCATGATTTCTGTTCACAGCTTATATTTCTTACAAGATTAAAACACGAATCTTTTAGTTTGCTTTAAAGGAAGCATGCAGATTTAAATAAAAGGTCATTCTTTCCTCTCTAAGTTCTGAATAACTCCTAGACTTAAAAATATTCCACCCTAACCCTAACAAAAGCCTTACTCAGAAAAAAAAAAAGAAGAGTACTGAGCATATTTGTCTATGCATATTCATAAGATGAAATTTAGGCATGTATTTATACATAAGCACTTAATAAGGAAATCCTGTACATTACCATCCTGCATTCTCCAGCAGGTTCCGTGCAATGGGCTGAGGCACTGAGCAGTTGTAATAACCCATGCCAATATAGGACCTCCATATCTTGTTCTTGCTTGCAATACTGTGCAGAGTTTCAAGGACTTCATTTTCACCTAATGGAAAAGAAATGTTAGCAGAAAAGTTCACTTACATATAACACTACTAGTTTCAAACTAAACTGTCTTGCATCTGTGTTAAATGCAGCAAATAAACTGTGTCAGAAAAAGGTACCAACCAAGAAGAAGAAAGGTAAAATAAGAATCTGGCAAAAAGTTTGGGGAAGGATTAATTTCTACCACATCTAAGTGCTCTTTTTTACCCCTTTTTCTTCTTTCTTGTTTTTCTTTTATTCCCCCTCTCATTTCTATTGTCCTTTCTTTAATGCAAATTTTCAGATGTTCTTTTCAATTGTTCTTGTGACAGTTCCACCATAAACACTTCATTTTAGGCAATTATGCATTTTTAACATTAAATAAAACATTGATAAACAATGTAAATGTCATTCTCTATCAAAAATGCAGCACTGAATAATCACAGAACTCTGACCAATGTGAAAACCATAACAAAGGCTTCTCTTGTTATGTGGGGAGGTGACTTATGACGGTCTTTTGTTTGCAGCGCAGTATGCATTCTGGTTCTCTCATACATTTATCTAAAAATAAATTTCAGAAAGGATTTTTTATTAGCAGGACCTTGCAGAATCAGCATGGCATGAAGTCCTGGTCACCCACAGTTAAGATTCAGTGTGTTTAACAGAGCAGAACTTGCACTAACTGAGTTCACACCAAGTATCCAAGAATAATTTCTCAGAATTCAGGAACTTCATGTTCTCTGCAGACCCTACTGACATTTCCCCTGAGTAGCTGGTAAAATGGAAGATGTCCTCACAGTTTTAATGTTTCATCAGGTTATTAAAAAACAAACAAAGAACACCAATTTGGGTGAGAATTAGACACAGCCTTCTAAGTAACCCGCTAAATTCCCCATCTACTTATCTGCATCTTTAGGTGCAGAGATCTTTTTTTCATCCTAACCTTGGAAGCTTTGGTACTTCAGCAGTTGCACTAAGCTCTGTTCATTTTGCACAGCAGTTTGGCATATAAGGCTATAAATAAGCAAAGGAAAATAACTTGGGTCCTACCTGCTTCAAACTCAGTTTCTCTGTATAAGTTACTCCAGCAAGAAAGATCAAAACAGTCACAGAGCCTATTGCTCTAGAACCCCATGGCAAATAACTCTCTGCAGAAAACCTCCAGGTTTTACATTGATTTCTTCCATAGCCATAAAAAAGGGGTTACTTCTTGATCTTTACCTCTGATTTCAAAACCGATCTGTCCTCTGCCCTTTACTCAAAATGTTACTATTCCATTCATTGCACAAATATTAATTTCTTACTGAAAATCTCCAGGTAGTCAAGTAATTTCTTTCACAGCCACATAATAAATACTAACACATTACATGATATACTTTATTATTTACTGAGTATTGCCTGTGATTTCAAAATTCACCGTGGTTAAATCAACCAATATTTGTTGCTACCGTATTTAGTAAAATGATATATATTTTTTTTTGGCTCAGGAGCCAAGGTCATATATTGACAGGTCATCATTGTTCAAGGGTTGTAACGTGAGCTCAGCAATACCCAAGGCAAAGTTTCTGAAATGCAGTAAGCAGTTCCTCTCCTCCACACTACTCCTACATATCTTATTTCAGAAAAATGCACGTTTGTTTCTAATGGGAGTTTTAACATCTTAATCCTCTTTATGACACTAGCAAACAAATATTCGATGAAAGGCATTCTATGCATAGCTTTCGTTCTTCATTTTTAAAGAACTCGAATCAAATCTCAAAGATTTTTTGGAAATGCTATTGCATTTATTCACTGAAGTCTAAATTTAGCTAAAGGTTGGATAGCATTTAATTCACTCACTGGCCCAAAGTCACACACACACAAAATGCAGTAAGAGGAAGATTTCTGTAGTAGAAATATACTGAAAATATTGTACTATGTGCATTTGTTTTCCTTTTTTAACCTGACTGGATGATTACTCTGGAGAGGTAAGAAGTTTTTCAGCAGATATGGCTAACCACCACCAAAGGAAAACATTGAGCTTGTGCTAGAGCTTTCTGAACTAGTGTCATGGTTTTCCAAAAGGATTCAGGAGACAAAGCACAAAGTTTAGCGAGACAGTAAGAAGCTCAGGGAGCACATGAGCGTCCATATGCTGTCTACACGTGTCATGATTCCAACCAACATAATTACATTTTGTAATTACACCATTTATATAAGAGTTATCTGTGAAGAAAGTTGTACTACTGTTTCTTGATCAGCATAGCAGAGTGCTTGAGGTCACCCTTCCCCCTGCTCCATTGCAGCTTCACCTCCCCTGTGATGATCCTTTGGTCACAGCTGGTCCAAATACCCGTATTCTGCATGTGGCATCTCCCTTGGAAAGGACCTGGAATAAACAGCCCTTCTGCTGGAAGCTTTCAGACACCACCTGGTTAAAGCCCCGAGCAGCCTGGTCTGATCCCACAGCTGAGCCTGCTGTGGGCAGGAGGCTGGGCTAGGCTGGACACCCGAGGCACACTGTATTTGTATAAATAACTGTTGCTTGTTTTTCTTCTAAGCCAGAACGTATGAACAAGACTAGCGTATTTTGGAAGGTTTCAATATACATTGTTTAAGAATAGTTTGTTGCAAGACCTCTGGGCTGGGTAACTGACTTAAGTTTCTTCCCACCAGCTGGTAAAGTAAGGAAGCAAAATGCAAAACAGAAAAAAAAAAAGCCTTTAAGAAACACTTGCAAAGCGGCCTTCACACTCAGTTGTCTGTTTCCAGTTTTCTAAGAAGCATGGTTGAAATGCCATTATCTTGAATCCATTCTATTGGATATAGTCTATAAATCCTTCAAGAACCTTATTCAGCAAGAAAAGAATTGCCAGCTAAGTCACCGCGGTTATCTTTATTCCCCACAGTCTTTAGTCCCTGCATGTGCTAGATGATAAGATCAGAGGCAGTACCCAGAATAAAGTTCGCCGATTTTGCAGAGCTGTTATCTTCGCACGGTGGAGGAAACCACTGCGGCTCTCACCAGTTCAGTGAAGACACTTTATGACTGCCACTCATACACAGAGCCACAGGTAAAAGAGAGGCAAAATATATCACAAAAATAGGAAGGGGGAAGAAATTATCTGATTCTGAAAAGTTAATACTGTTATTTCTGCTGGTGTTTGCTGGCTAGAGCAGTAGCTTTGCTTTGAATCTGTGAGATACCTGGAAGGAAGTTGGGTACTCAAAGAAGTTAAGACAGGATAAGAAAAAGAAAATGAAATAAAATAAAAAAAGGAGAAACCAGGATGACAGATGCGGATTGACTTAAAAACCTACAATATAAGAAAAAAAGAAGACATTTGTCAGATGTCATTTTGCTCACACTAGGTAAATCCTTTAAAAAAAATCTAGCTTCCGAGGTCATGTAAGCAAGAATTTAAAAACAAAAGAGGGGAGGCAATTTATTTTCCTTGCCTCATGAATTCCATCTCTGAAACAAAAATCAAATCACACTGAAGTAAAATTGCTCTGAAGCTCAGTCAAGTCCTGTCGGACATGCACTAACAGAGCAGAAAAGCCCAGGAGAAGCATCTGCTCCATGCAGAAGGTCCTGCCAGGAACTCCTCAAGAGCTGGGCTGGAAGCCAACACTGTCTGCTGCCCATCCTGCCTTTCCTCCCTCACCTGCACAGCCCGTCTGGGCAGCAGAGGCATCCGAGGGCCAGCAACAGGTCCTCAGCAACAGGTCTGCCTTTTGCCTTCCCACCTGAAGCACCCACTACCCGGTGCTGAAAAGGGAGCAGCGGCAAAAAGCACCATGAGGAGTGAAACGCTGCGCGGTGACAGCCTGTCTTGGGATAGGGCTGCTTCAGCCTCGCGTGCATTCCAAAGAAAATGTTCAGATTGGAGACTCAATTCAGGTCTTAACCAACTTGTACTAACAAAAAAAAATGGAGTAAAATTTGAATTACTTCGGACAATCATTGTAAAGTTTTTAGAATCACTGTTTTAATTCAAATTTTGATTGAAAAAGTAGAAATACGCATCAAAATCTATAAACTCTGAGTTTTAACACTAAATACACTCATGAAATAAAGACGGGTCTATAAGAAGTATGACAGGCACAACTACGACTAATACAAACAGCAGGTTTGCAGGGATAAAAGGAAGAGGATTATCCTTATATAAGGTGGCTTATTCTTTTACTTCAACTAGGTCAGTCACTACATGTGCTAAAGCACCTTAAATACCTAAGGAAAAGCTGATAAAGTTTACTTATGTGACAGTGGGAAAAGAGCTCTAGAAACAGATGATTGCTAGCAATTAAATATCAAACAGACATCTGGCCTCCCTGGACGATATTGATTTGAAAAGAAGCCAAAATAACATTTTTTCCATTGCACTTTACCTACTTTCCAGGCCTCCCTTCCAGGATTAGTTCAGATACTGGGCTGCAGCTTTCCGTTCCTAGAACCGAGTAGCTTGTTCTGTTTCACCCGTACTGATTTTCAGTGGTGCATTCAGGTGGTTTTACAACGCGAGTTGTCACTGGGCTCACGGCAGCAGACACCTCCAAATTGTATGTTGTTTTTTTAACTGGGACAGGGGCATAGGGCACTTCTGTAATATTACACAGCTAGGGAAGCAATGCATTTCAGATATCTCCCAGCACAAGTTATATCGCTGTTCTTCTTCACTGACCAATTCTGTGTCAGAACAGATCCACCACTACAGAAATACCAGTATTATATTGAAAGAGCATTTCTAGTATAGATGCAGTTATATCAGCAAAGCTTAACATTACTAGGATAGCGTTTTCATTCATACATAAGTAACACAAACACATATTTAAGTCTAGACGTTTCCTGCATTGGTCAGTGAAGTAATGAAGCCCAATTCTGCCACTGAAGGTAGGAGTGGGCTAGAAAGTTGAGCAAAGACAACACGTGGAAGGAAGATTGTGCTTCTACTGTAGTAAGATGTTTTATTTAGGAATGGTTTTATCATCCTTAATGTTATACCACTGAAGACCAACTTTCAGTATAAACTGCAACCACATGAGTATTTTTTATTGCCATGACGCAGGTACAGCTTACAGAGTTTAGAACTTTTAGGTAATTTCTTATCAACAGAATTACCAATAGAGCCAGCAATAATGCAAAACAGTCTTTCCTACTGTCACACCTAATCGAAGTTTGAAAATAAGGACACACACAAACTGCTTCCACTAGGATATATCTTCCCCCCCTTTCTCTGTAGTTGGTACTGTTACAGATTGCATAGCAGCCTTGCCGAAGCTGAAGAGAACTGCCAACTTATTTAATTAACTATGCAGATATAGCCCTGTAAGGACATTTTTCTCCTGTGTAACATTTCTCCTCCTAATTAGGAATTTAGCTATCGTACTTTACATTCACATCCGAGACAAGACCTGAAGCTATTAAAGGGTTTTTTTTTTTTTTTTAATAAGACTTAACAATAGAGATGTAACATTCCAACATATTAATTAGGGTGGGTGCTTCAGTTTCAGGCTACATACCTATTTTGAATCGTAAGCACTGACTTAAATGTGACTTTAGTGCAAGCTGCATTTCTTAACAAGAAGTTACACAGCTGAATTCAGATGCAAACTAACCAGTAAAGTCGCTGTGAGTATTTTTTAAACCAAACTTACAAAGAAAAAGGAAGTGTCTATTTAGGCAGTTACAACTTGCATTTTAGTTATATTATGAGTGACAAAGTTGAAGAGCACATCTGGGACTGCCTTGCCCTGCTTTCTCATTATATATCGGAATTTTGGGGGACAAGGGCACAAAACTGTCTTCACTAAAATTAATAGAGCACCCTTACAATACAGTTCCCATGACATTTTACTGCTTTTGCTAAAGAGAAATCTCTTTATACAAAGGATGTGATAGCGAAATAGCGCACCATATGCATGGATCAGATCCCGTGCTGTTGATGGGGAAGACGATGTTCTCTCTAACAGCACATTGATCAGGAAGCAAGTTTGACCCAGAATACAGTGTTCTAGGTACAAGATGTTCAATGTCAAGTTGCACAACTTTAGGCTGAAGCTTTTACAGTCTTTTACAGGCTGCATGGTTTCCTTCTAACAGTACAGTAGAAAACTAGTGACTAAAATCTATGCATTGAATTACAAAATGCATTTACTTCCTCACCGTGCAGGATGAGAAGCAGCAGCAGTGAACAGACAAGCTCTCTATACTGAAGCGAGTGCCTGTTTTTAAAGTGCACTGTTGCACGCAGGGCCAGAGTCTGCACCAAGTGACACTCTTTTCAAGTTTACTACAAAGGAAAAGGAACAGCATACCAAATGGGGAAAGCAGCAGGGAACTGCACGCACGGCCAGCTAACGAGGTCCTCTGCACAAGGAGAACTTGTATATCACAGAACATCACTAATTCCTAGCAATGAATTGTGAGGCTACTGCAAAATTACAGTGCAAATTGGTATATGAGCACAAAACAAGGCATGAAGATTTTGACATAGGCTGACATAGGCATTGACAGTGCTGGCTAAGTTTTGAATAAGGTATGATCATTTTAATACCTTTCTAACTATACTTTATTGCTTTTATGCAAAGTCTCTGTAATGAAAAATGTTGTGATAGTTTCATGCACTAAATCCAAGCATCCTGAAGAAACAATCTAGAATGGATTTTAAGATACAATACACTACATTTTCTCCTCTTGCAGACCTAAATAAACGCCAAACAATGCTAACAGCTGTCCCCTAAAATTCTATTCCTTAAGAGAAAAAAAAATCCACTCTATCCATCAGGCAATAGCTTGATTAAAACAAGAAATAGTTAACACAATTCACATGGAAAGAAGAAAATTAAATTCCTTCTCTCCTGCCCTCCCTAAGCCCATATTAACACAATGAGAAAACTTATCTTTAAAAAGATCTTTGTACAAATGAAATACTGTTAAAATAGGAACTTTCGATCGCTATTGAATTGGTCCTGGTCAGAAACCCTCTTTTCGTGCTCTTTCCAGCAGTTCTTTGTGGCGGCTGCTCCTGTGTGTGATGTCATCCTGAGCTAACCAGATTGAACTGGCCGGGAACCCACCAGAGCTGAATTCATGAAGTTTGCACTCAAATTACAGCGCGCCGATGAGCAGCACAAACCCGGACGGAGGGAGCAAAGCGCTCACAGGGATGGCCAGCGAGACAAATACAAAGTTAATACGGATGCAATTGTCTCTAATTAATCATGTAGGCTATTAAGCTTTGAAAGTTTCCTTGGAATTACTTATCTGGGTGCATTTTTTTTTGAGTATTTCTTACATGATTGGGTTTTCTAAGTGCGATGCTCATCACTGCCTATCAAGGCTGCAACAGCCAGAAGTTTTCTGCTCTGATTAAAGCATAACTTTTTTTTTCTTTTTTTTTTTAAAGTTAATGCCTGGATTTTCATCATGCCATATCCAACTTTTCTAAGCCGATTTGCTGAACTACCGGCTCACACGTTTTGCATTCCCGCTCTCCTCGGTAAAGCCAGAGGCTGCAGGCGCCTCTTCCAGCGCTCGCCTCACGGGGATGCTCGCAGGGTTTGCGCCCTGCCCGAATACGCCTAGGATTGCTGGACACCTCCGAAATAAACCCTGCACCCCGCGCGCGCCAGGCCGCTGCTCTGGAGGGCTGGGTCCGACGAGGTGCCGCGTGGAGGGGGTGTCACTTACACACGCGGTCATCCATCCGGAGCGGCCTGCGCAGGCGGATGCTGGCGGGGATGGTTCTGTCCATGAGCTCCTCGACGCTCTGCCAAGGGGAGACGGGGCGCTACGGTGAGCTGTGCACGGGGAGACCGCAGGGGACGCACACGCATGCACACGCGCATGCACGCGCACACACGTGCGCACACATACGTACACTCACCACACACACATGCACACACTTATAAGGACACTTGCACACACACACGCGTACAAATGCGCACACACATGTACATACACGCGCACCCACATGGACACACACGCGCGCACAGGCTGACACGCACGCGTGTGCACACACACACACGCTCACACACACGTGCACACGCACACACAAACACACGCGCGCACAGGCTGACACGCACGCGCATGCACACACACACACGTGCACACGCACACACAAACACACGCGTGCACAGGCTGACACGCACGCGCGTGCACACACACATGCTCACACACACGCGCACACGCACACACGAGCGCACAGGCTGACACGCACGCGCGTGCACACGCACGCAGGCGCTCGCACACGGGCACCCACCTGCACGCCCA